ATTTAGTGGTTTTTTTCCGTATGAATAAAGAATGGTGTCTAAAAATTGGGCCCTTGTCTTTGAAACGAAAAGTGTTCTTACCTTTGCTCATCACCCAGGTTGTTTAGTTCTCCCATTCATGTAAATCACTGAAAGACAAATTTCAAACTCTGTATAGTTAAACATGTTCTCTCCCATGTCTGTGCTATTTGCCAGGACCACAGAACGTTATGTTCTAGTTAACCAGTTTCCTACAGAACTAAACCACAGTCTATTTCTAGGAAAAAGCTTTGAAAGCCACTGTGAGCTAGCTATCCTTAACATTCCAGCTTCAGGTTTCAAAGCAAATAAATATCAAAAAGCTTTTTTTTTTCTCCATCATTCTGTGAAAATATTACAGAACAAAAAAAAATCTTCAACACTAATGACTATTGGAATTAGTTACGGAACTACAAACCTGTGCAGGGAATTGCAACATTTAGGTCAAAATAGCCTAGTTTGGACAGCTAAGTGGGAAAGTTTCTCAAATTTGCTATTTTGTCCTTAAAACGTAACTTTGTATATATTATTTTTCTTGCTAATAATTTTGTAGCACACACTATTGTATGTATTAAAAACCACAAAAAACCTTAAACTCCAAATAAAAAACAGAAACATGTAGACCTGCATGAGTGCGTGTGCATCCCTTTTATAGTGCTGTACATACGTGTGTCAGTATTGCACAGTGGTGATTAATTTAATTTGTAGAATATGCTTTTGTGCCAGGAACATTTGCAATTTGTGTAAAAAAAAAAAAAAAAAAAAAGCGTTTACTTATCTATCAGGTAAGTTTAGTTTTCCCTTGCCATCTCTGAAATCAAATAGAGGCAAGATGATTCACTAAGGTCAGAATGGGTTCGTTACGGGCCACTTAGACAATGTTCAGAAGATTCATAAATATGCAGATTTTGCAAAACAGGCTCCAAATAAGCCAGATTCGAATTTCAGCCAACTCCATATTCAAACTTTACAATTTGGACAAGCCAGCAGCGCAAGTGGATATTGTCACTGGCCAGCCACCATATTTAAAAAATGTGGTTACATCATGCTGCAGGTGGGGTATATCTGCTAGACAGTGATCACACATCAGCCGCACACAGTTATGAAAACTAGCAACTGGGCAGCTAGTTGCATCAGTTTATTATAAATTTTTATTTGACCTCTTTTAGGGCCACAGGGTTATTTAATAAAGTGAGAATTCAGGTTGAATTTAAAATTTGAGGCCATACTGTCATGCCAAAATTACCTTTCCCATATTGTTTCCTCTTTTCTTCCTCTCTCACAATCTGTTCTTTTCTTTATTTCTGATCTAGTTTTTGTTAAAACATAAGACAAAGTAGGCACCAAGGAAGAGCTTAAGTCAGTTCCATTTCCTGTGTCAAGGAGGAGGGCGAGTATTGCGGGAAAACTGACACAGGAAATGGAGCGGACTTAAGCTTTTCCTTTGGTCAAAGAATGTCAAGTGTAGTAAAAATACATAAGACAAAATAGTTCCTACTTTGTCTTATGTTTTAAAGAAAACTAGATCAGAAATGAAGAAAAGAATAACAGATTGTGAGAGAAAAGAAGAGGAAGCGAAAGGAGAAAGGTAAGTATGGTGTGACAGTGCTGTTTCAAAGCGTAGCTGAAAGATGGTATGTAAAACATATCAGACGGAAATGCAAGAGGTATCTAACAAAACGTGCAACAGTCTAGCAACCAGAAAGAGAGACTAACATATGGAAATAGAAGCCAAGATATAGTACTTCCAAAAAAGATACACCTCTTCAAGGGCAGCACATACAAAAATGACTTACTACGAGATTTCAGAAAATATATTTCAGAGACCAGAAATGGGACAGAACAGCAAGAAGTCAGGGCTGAAAGAGAGGTGGTGGATCTTACCAAATATTTCAGATGAAGGAATTGCTTTAAATAAACAAACAAGGCATTACTGAATACAAATCAAAAGATGCTTCAGAACAAAGCTCAAAAAGATACACTGGGTCAGATACTAGAGAACCAGACACAGGTCATTTGGAAGAGAAATCATAAAGACCAACCTAGGTCTTATTGTGAGGTTCTAGAGATGCCGAGGACATTCACCTTGTCTAACATGTTTTGACATGTAATTTAGTTTGGTCCATAAATGAGATTTGCAATACTCACTTTGAATTTAGATATGATGGAGTCAATAAACACGATTAGAAAGTTCCATAATTTGCTTAGATTAAAGCTAGCGATTACGGTCAGTTTTAATACTTTAGAATATTGCAGCCTAGCTCTAGCTTACACAAAATCTACCTAATAATTAAGGGTTTGCGTGTGTACCTTGTCTGGTAAATCTTTAATTTAGCTATATGAACAGCCACAGCAGAAAATTAAAGATTCAAGAAGAGTTGTTAGTGTTTGGACTTGTGTTCTTGCTAGATGGAATACTTTTCAGGGAAGTAAAAAAAATAAAACACTAAACAAAACACTATGTGGAATCAAGGCACGGCTAGTTTAGTAGAATTTGGTGTTTTTGGGATGATTATTACTGGCAACGTGCTGGGGTTCATTGGCATGAAAGCTTCCAAGGTAATTGGATAATTTCTCCCCAGAGATTTTGAAGAACACTGAAGATTAATCACATGCCAAAATCCTGCTGCTAAGAGCTGTGAATAAATGAATGCCAACATATGAGCAAATTAATGGGTGCCAGAGAAGGAGTGAATGTTTCTGAGCAAGCGTGCTTCAGAATGAATGCCAAGAGGTTTCCAGTGAAAGCCTGTTCACGCATTGCAATTTCTAGGAAAACTGTAAAAAGCAGCATTTAGTCGATTTTATTTTTTTATCTGGATGAGGTTAGATGCAAACAGACATGGGAAAATAAAATTATGAATTAGTTTAAGGTCAAACTTGACTTTGAAAAAGTAAAAGTCAAAATCAGAGCTACCAGTGTAAGCACAGCACACATCATAACAGTTTTAAGATTTAACAAGTAATGCAACACAAATTCCACTATTAATGAGTCTGAAGCTCTAGCATAGAATGGCAGTTTTATTAAAGTTGCAAATGATGCTGAATTCCCTTTTGAAAATATCAAAAAGTAGAACCACTCAATGTTTTTCAGCTGCTTCTTAATAAAATCACTCCTACGCTTAAAATGTATCTAGGTGCATTGTTTTCAATTGGATAGCAAGTTTCCCATTAAGATTTAGGTTTATGTTACTTTAAAATGAATATGTTGATTGTCTGCATTGCCCTTATCAACTTTGGTCTGAACAAGACATTTTTTTTGACTACCAATCTGCAAAGCCACTTCTCTTCTGCTATGCGTTCTGTAACTTGCACTTTATTTACGGGTTTTTAGGTTTTAGTTTTTACTATTAAAAAAAAATACAGCAATCTTGGGTTGACAGCATTATATGGTCATTTCTATTATTGGCGCTGTTTTAGCACTTAAAGGAACACTATAGTAATAAGAACAGCTACAGGATAATGTTGTTTTTGCTGGTTTGTATGGTATGTCTCTGCAGACATTTTAATGCAAGCACTGCCTTTTCAGAGAAACAGCAGTGTTTACATTAGTGCCTAGGGACACCTCTAGCAGCAGTCACTCAGATGGCAATAAGAGGTGCTTCCTTGGTCAGTGCTGCACAGTGTGAGGGCACGGACTTGCAGCATCTCCACGCTCTGCATGGAGGCGCTGAGAGTTCCCCATAGATTTGCATCTCTATGAGGAGATGCTGAGTGGTGCAGTGCTGCATTTTGCCAGGCATGCACAATAGCCTCCAAATGCTTTCCTATGGGAAAGCTTTGGATTGGCTGAGATCATAAGAATTGATCATCTCAACCACAGAGGCAGTGCGTGCAGGAGCCAGCCACGGGGAGAACCATGCAGTGATGGAAAAAATTAAGCTCAATACACTTTTCACAGGGGCAAAGGGACTAAACATTAGTATTCCTGACACTATAGTGGTCCTTTGAGTATAGCAAGGAATCTATTCTTGATTTTATGTCACACCAGGCTGCACCAAATAAATAAATAATAGCAAAATGAATCAGTTTGACTAGGATATCAGCGCTGCTCACAGTTATCATGTTGTCACTGATTAAGCAATTTCTCAATTACAATTAAACCCTGGCCCCATGCGTGAAAGAAAATGCAGCATCAAAATATGACAAGGGTTAACACTAAAACACCATTTCCGATTTCTGCATTTTCACTTTCATTAGCAGAGTAAGAAGATCTGCTCACCATCATACAGATGTAAACTCAGCTGGGGAGTTTTACAAACAAACAATGCGTAGCAACTGTTCTAACGGTGTTAAAACACATTTAATGGGTCACTCCAGACAACAACTTTAGGCATTTTATAGCTTTTGGCTTAAATACATTATTTTCTCGTGCTCAATTTTGTATACTTTTTGGAAAAAAAAAAGAATTATATGTAAAATGTCTTACAGCATTATGTACTTGAAGCCTGCCTCCTCATTGTAAAGACACAGCTTTCATGCTGGCTACTCCCTGTCTGTCCTCCCAAACTCCTGCATTCTTTAAGAACAGTTTTTTTTTTTATTATTATTATTTTTATCAGGAAGCAAAAAAATAAATCTGAGTTGTAGTTTAGATAACTCCATAAGCAAAAAAAAAAAAAAAAAAACTGAACTAAAGCTTTCAGAAAGCCTTGCTCTGCTTTACAAATAAAACTGTAATGTGATCTGTTTGAAAGATAGTGCACCAGTCATGCACCAAGTCATCCAGTTTCTACGGGGAGATCTTAGACCACTGATGCAGAAAAGTTTTCCCCACCCAACAAGTACTCAAATACTAATGAAAAATAGATGACATATATTGCATACATAAGTATTAAAACAAAACAACTGTTAACGTACCTTCCTTTTAAATGTAAATGAAGTATGATAGGAGGAGTGTACAAAGGTCGACTACAAAAATACATAGTTTGCACGTAAGGGGTTAAGGTATGCAAGCATCTCCCATTCTCAAAGCAGGGTACGTGGTTCTTAGGTTGGACCAGAGATTAAATTACCATTGAAAAATCTAAACCATTAGCAAGAATCTTCACATCAATCACATCTTTAACTCCATCAATGTGGATTTGGTATGATGTTTAAATGTTACCCACAATTTTCTGTTGTTTCTAATAGTCCAGGATTTATTTAAAAAGTTTATGATATTTACTGTAAACGTATACAGTCAAAGAAGTTCACTGGAGCATAATTTATTACATACATTGTGCCAAATAATCTATTCACCAAAAATATGTCACATTTTAGGTCAAAACAGAGCTATAGTATGTTCACAGTATCTGCTATTTGGATCTAAATGTGTCATACGTTTTATTAAATTAACTGCTGAAAGTGTAAAAACAAACACACACACTTTGCTTTCTTTTGTTATTTTCTATATTACAAAGACATACAAAAAAAAAAAAATACATGTCCATGAAATTTGTACATAGCAGTTAATATTTCAGGTGGGAACAATATCCAGTTACACAGTATTTCTAATGGCATTCCCAGTAACAAACAAAAATACTTTTACATTACCTTAAAACAAACAGAAAAAAAAAAAAAAAATACTCTCTTACATTGTAGGGGATAAATGTGTAGTAGACCGTATAAGCATTTTCTGCTGCTCTGGAATGATAAAAATGGTCTATTTTCTCACAATATATTGCACAGTCTGAAAAGGTACCAAAAAAAAAAAAATGAAATCTAGAACAAAAAATAAAAAAAAACTCACAATCTTGGGAAGATGATTCTCACATTTATAAAAAAGAAAAAAAAAATCTACTAAGAAACAAACATTGTTTCTACAGTAGCAATAACTTTAGAAAACTTGGAATGAAATACAGTATCAATTTATTGTATCCAATTCACCTTCACCCCTGAGTTTGTATAAGTCACTGCAAGAGTTTGATTGAGCCAATGGCAGCGTTTTGCATTCAATGTCCACAGATGGCAACTGAGAAACTCGCAGAAGTCAAAATCTGTACTCACAGTTAATAGTCATGAGGCCAAAAAACCCTCCCCCCATCTCAACCATTCAGAGGGTAAAGAAAATGTCTTAAGTTGAAAGGGGTAAGACCTTTTCGTTAAAAGAAAGCTTCACCTTGACGATCCCGTGTGCAAATAACACGAATAGAAAAAAATATATATATATATATATTGAAATAATGTAGATATGTCTTTGAGATCAACCCAGGCAGTTCAAAAAGAAATGTTCAGAATTTTTTCAAATGTCTCAGGTAAAGTGGTTAGACCACCTCCTTGGCCATTAGCTCCATTTCTGCAGCTCGTTTGAGAGCAACATCCACCAATAACTGGAAGCCACTGAAATCTTGGTTGTAATCTGGAGGGGTAGGAGGTGGCGTGTTGAAAAGTCCACTCTGTGGGCTTGTGATTTGTCCAAGTTTATTTGTATCATCATGGCATACAAGCATGGCCTCTGTTAAAGTATTACTAGTATTTGCCTCTATCTGCTTCTGGTTTGGGATCTGTCCGGCGTTGAACACATGAGTGAAGTTGAAAGGGGCATCATTTAGAGAAGATACAGTGGTATGACATATGACTGATGGGCGAGCTAGAAGGGATTGTGGAGGAGACAGTTTTGAAGCAAGGAACTTTCCCGAGCTCTGGCTAGACCCTGGCACGTTGAATTGAAATGAGTTTTCGTCAATAGTGGGAATATAGGGTTTTGCACCAGCAGTGGAATCCACCTGCATTGCCTCTGTTATTTTGCCTCCTTTCCGAGTAATTGTAAACTGATTGGGGTCCTTCCCATCCTTCCGTAGCATATCTGGCAAAAGTCTGCGGCGAGCATTAATAAACCAATTGCAAACCTAGAAATACAATAATAGACATGTCATAACTTTGCACATTTCTGAGTCTTTTAGTGATTTTGTACAGAGAATAAGTTATGGAAAATATTTGTGTGTTCAAATTGAACAAGGACATTTATAGCAAAAGAAGCATATTTTTCACGCTATTGAATAACATTTACATGTGAAAATGCAACTCTCATACACTGCAAAATGATAACCAACATCAGTCAGGTTACTACAAAAAAAAAAAAATGAATTTAGCATGAATGAGTTTAGAAGGTTGAAAAGCCATTTTTTAACTGGCACTATGTCATATTATGTGAAAGTTTTGTATTTTGAACTCGCCCACATTTCACCCACAACGTGTCTAATTTTAAAAACTTCCTATGTGAATTTATCTTGGAGCAAAAATAAAATAAAATAAAAATCATGGAGAACTCTATGCAAGAAAACCACTACAGCTTTCTACAGTGGTTAAGCTGCCTAGAGTACCATTGTGCTACCTCTCTGTTTAATATCAAGCAATGATTAGACAAACACTCCAGGCTCTTCCCAACGCCGAAGGTACTGCCTCCATCACAGCTGCATCGATAATAACGAACCAACATATTCACATTATCAATGTCAATATAGTCCAATCTGGGTGACACAAACCGTCTGAGACTACCCTGCCCAGAGCCAGTTAATGCCATCCAGGTTAGTAGTGGTCCCTGTGGCTGAGATTGGGATAATTCCTAAACTAAGAATTCTTAGTTTGTTTCAAATGGTTTGCAAAAAAAAAATTGTTATTAAAATCGAGGAACAGCATCAAGGTACTATTGACAACAAAATACCACAGCAATAGATTGTGAGAGCGCAGGTAACTTTTTCCTTTTCTTTAGATTGTGGTTATGTTGCTTACAGTGTACTTCTAACACGTCAGTGCTCTAATTAAGAAGCCTTAAAGGGACACTGTAGGCACCCACACCATTTCAGCTCATTGAAGTGGTCTGGGTGCAATGTCCCATGTCCCTTAACCCTACAGTGGTAATTATTACAGTTTCTGAAAAACTGCAATAATTACCTGCTAGTGTTAACTTTTCCTCTAGTGGCTGTCTACCAGACAGCCACTAGAGGGACTTCCGAGTGCTTAGACGACTTTGGTTGCCTAAATGATGCTTGACGTCCTCACGCTATGCATAAGAACTTCCAGCGTCACCATATTCCCCATATCAAAGCACTGATTAATGCATTCCAATGGGGAAATCCCAATGTGAATGCGGTCCAAAGGTGTTGGGAGGTGCATTGGCAGAGCCTGACCCAGCGCCAAAGGACATCGCTGCCTGATTCAGGTAAGTGACTAAAGGGGTTTTAACCCCTCCAGCGCCAGGAAGGGGGCACTGTTTTGTTTTCCTGTCACTATAGAATCCATTTAAACCTTTGGAAATGTGCAAATGGTTCTAAATATTTCAGTGATGGAATGGAACCAATGACTAACATCTGTATTAAAAAGGACTGTTGCAACTCATTATTGTAAACAAATAGACAGTTAACATTGTCATTATAATGCACATCATATAACATGAAGAGGATCTTAAACAATAGACTAGTTACAGCTGGATTTTGACGAATTGGGTAAAGACAAGCATTATTTTTAAGGTTACACAAACTGTCTACCGACAGAAGCAGAATTGACCACACATATTCTCATTTCCTATAGAAAAATATCTGTAGCTTGCAAGAAGTTTTCCAGTTAGATTAACCCTTTTAGCAAGCTATACAACACATAGCGTTGTTTTTTTTTCTTTTTCCCTTTTGGAATTCAAATGGCCAATATGTATTACACTCTACTAAAATATCTAAAAATACAGCACCATGTACCCAGTGCATGGAATTCCACATTAATGCTATTCTACAAAATACCTAAAGGGATGTGAGAGCAAAGAGCTAAATGACGGGGTAAGGGAGACAATAGCATTCTTTACAGAAGCATTGAACATCAAGAAAGGCTTACCTGTTTGATGGCCTTTGGCAATCTGATAAGGATCCAATGGTTTTGCAAGCCTTCCTAACTAATAAGGGCCGACAAATAGGTCCCAGTTGTTGAATTATATTCTGTTACACCGAACTCTTAAAGCACTTTCGTCCAACACAAAGCTTTGGTTGTCAGTCTTGACATACACAAGAAACTTAGCCCAATAAGGCCCCAGGAAATTTAAATTTTCGATGCGGCTGAACGCTTTCATTTTTAAATGTTTCTTACATGTCATTTCCCATACCTTAGGCTAATGGTGGGAAATTTTCCTTTGAAACAAGATGCTGTTTGTCTTTCGATCAGAGAGCGAGCAGTGAGTCACTGGCACAGCTGAACTTTTTGTGCTTCCAAACATGTGTTCAATTACCTCAGTCAAATCTTTGGCAGTAAATAACCCCTCTGACTACATAGCTGTGTGGTGTTATAGGACAGTGTACCATAAGACAGGTATACTGGAGGGAAAAAAAATCTGCTTATTTTAAAATTATTCCTCTCATTTTACTGAATCTAAGCTAATTTTCAATTGAAACTGAAAGATTGGACAAACTTAAATTTCACTACAGGGTCAACGAGACATCTAGGCTGTAGACCACGAGCACTGTTATCTAGAGATATTGTCTGCAGCTTGTTTGATGTAGTTTCTAGGCCTGCACTTGTAAAGCCTTGAAAAGTGGCAAAAAACACTATTTTTGTATCTAAAGCAGGCGTCTCAAACTCAGGTCACCCCCAATGTTGCTGAACTACATATGCCAAGCTATCTACTGCATTCAGAACATTCTAGGGGTTGTAGCTCATCAGCATTTATGGGGCCCAGACTAAGCGACTACAGAGTTAAAGAAACAGCAACAATCATAATCCTTTTATTGAAAAAAAAAAAAATGGAAGCATAATAAGCTGAAGTAAGACAGCTGGAAGTGACAGTATAAACAGAGGGACACTAGTGTTAGGAATACAGTTTTATATTCCTAACACTATAGTGTTCCTTTAAAAGGAATACTACACTCCTTCAGTCTTCCTTGATTTGCAAACCTCCTCCATGATACTGACATGCTGGTTTTCTGGACAGCGTTTCTATACTCCCTACCCAGCGCAATCAGCACCAGCTATGGCGTTACCATAGTAACCACAATGCATGCATTAGGGTTGCTATGGGTGGAGAGCAGAGTCTTGTGGGAGGCCTCTTTTACCCTCCATGTCTCAATTCCTCAGCATTCAGTGTTTGCCGAGGAATTGAGAGAGACGGTATAAAACTCGATTTTTAAAATCGGTTTTCCTCCAAATCCCTATATTTTCTATAAATTGCTAGTGCAATGTATATATGTCAATAGAGATATGGCCGGTTCCCCTTAAATTTTAGTAGTTAGACCAATGATGGTTGACTTTAGCAAAAGAAAAGAAATGACAGAGCATATCAAGAAATAAACCTCACAGACAAAATTAGAACACACATAGAACCCTGCTGTATAAAACCAAAAACACGACATACATAAATGGATCCTGATAATAAACAACATCATGTCATCCATATTTGTACATACCTGTAATGTTGAGAGTTGTGTTTGATGGGACAAAACTGCCTTTTCTTGTTCAGAGGGATAAGCATTGTAGCGGTGTTCGAAAAGCCAGTCCCTTAAAATTTGCACAGATTCCTTGGGAAGATTTCCACGTCTTTTTCTTTTCCCAGATGTGGCAGACAGATCCAGTGGGACATCCACGCTATCATCATCCTCCTCATCAGTGTCAGTGCCAGAATGAGGAACTAAAATGATACAAAGAAAAATCACCATTAAGTGTCTCTCTTCCACCAAAACTATGGTCTCAAATAAGCACTGGAAAAACAGGCAGGAATGCAGATTAGAGGTTCCAAAACAGCAGTGATCTAAATATTCAAGTTAAAGCTCTGCAGAACACTCAATGTTTCACTAAATCTCTAATAACCTAATATATCGGGTTAAGAGCATATAATCTGGGCAATAAAGCAGCAGGTCATTGCCAAGGTAAAAGAGGGGTTGGAAATATATTTTTAAAAGGCATGCTTACTTTGTTTATCAGCATATTTTGTCATTGTGAGTGAATTGTTGAAAATAGAAAATATATAATCTACACATACCATTGAACATGTAAAGGCAATTTGAAGTTTGTGTGCCATGTTTGTCAGCATTGCTGATTATGCAATCCTACATATTATAAAAACTCACCGTTAATATACAAATTCACTAGCAAGTTTACAGGGCAGAGTATTAAACAGATTCCAAAAAAAAACAAAAAAAAACATACATTTTCAAAACACACACACACTCTCTCTCTAAGCTTTTTAAATATTTTCCCAATAAATCACAGCTTGGGTTTACAAAAGGTTCTTGTCTTTTGTACAGAACAATACCATTAAATCTGTCAATCCCATTTGGAAGATAAGATCTAAATTCCTTAGATGAGCATTCTTTTTCCACTGAGAATTCTCTTTGAAAAAAGTTAGGTTGGCTCTTACACTGCGTAACAATTGTATCCCTCAGTATTTGTGGTCTGAGCGACAACAGCAATGAAAGCCTTTCTGGACACCCAGGAAAATGGTTTCATGGTGAAAAACCACACCAAGATTTACTTATACACCAGAATACCACAAACCAAAAGTGTATTTGAATATCCATAGTTAAAAAAAAAAAAAAAAAGGTTTATATGTAGAAACTTAGAATATTTCAAATGCAAAATAATGAAGTATTGTTTCTCTTAATACTTTCTCTTGGAATAGCAGAATTTTGCAGTGACAATCATTTGGGAGCTCCTCTAACTACCGGTAAAATAAAACAATCAAGGAAGATAGCTGTAATGCAGAGTTTAGAGCAACAAAAAAAAAAAAAACACTTCAGTGACAACAAAACCTGGTGTCATCAATCTGCCCTTGGATGAGAGAATTCGGAAAATAAAACAAGAATTAAAGGAACATTCCAATGCCCAAATTGGGAAAAAAAATAAAAATAATAATATTATATATAATATATATATATATATATATAGAGAGAGAGAGAGCATCACTATTAAGTAAATATGCCCCCAATGAATACATGCATGATTTTTGCATGAGCTTAAAAGAGCTTGCAAAAGCTGAAGTGCTTATTATTGCAGATCTTGCAAGCCCTCGCATTTTTTACTCGGAAAATACTTTCAGTCTCTTCACACAGAAATAGCCAATCAGAGGCTTCTCACTGAGCACACGCGGACACTGTTTCGATTGCGCCAGCTCGTGCACAAACGCACATCTGATCTGAGGTCTGTAGTTGCTGATCGAAGGACTGTGAAGGAGAAGGCAGGCGAGCTCAAGTAGAGCTAACTCTACTCCAAACCTCCCTGGCTGTTTGATTGACAGCCAGGGGTGTTCCATAATTATGCAGACTTCTCATAAATATCAGCACTTTGGTAAACTGATTTTCAAATAGGATAAATGAAGAGATAACAAGTTAAAATATTTATACTTAAACACGCACAAAAGGCATATGAAACATGCCATGATACCTATATACAACTACTTGAGAAGAACCACTGGAAAAGATCTGCCTTTTGACAGACAACTTTTCTAAAAGTATAGACTTAATCTTAAAACTAAGCCAGGGCTTGACAAATTCCAGGTGCCAGGTCACCATGGCGACTAGAAATTTTACCCTGGCGTCCGGGATTGGTCAGCCTTTCACCTAAAATGGCCGGCTGGGCAAACAATGAAGCCAGCCGGCTGCCTGCCTGTCTGCTCAGGAAGCTGTTTAGCCCGCAGCCCGCGGGAGGTATGGAGGCAGCCGGCTTAGGAAGCTGTGTAGCCCGCCGCCCGTGGGAGTTATGGAGACGAGCAGCTCAGGGAGCTGTGTAGCCGCCGCCCGCGGGAGGTATGGAGGCAGCCGGCTCAGGAAGCTGTGTAGCCCGCCGCCCGCGGGAGGTATGGAGGCAGCCGGCTCAGGAAGCTGTGTAGCCCGCCGCCCGCGGGAGGTATGGAGACGAGCAGCTCTTGAAGCTGTGTAGCCCACCGCCCGCGGGAGGTATGGAGGCAGCCGGCTCAGGAAGCTGTGTAGCCCGCCGCCCGCGGGAGGTATGGAGACGAGCAGCTCAGGAAGCTGTGTAGCCCACGGGAGGTATGGAGGCTGCCGGCTCAGGAAGCGGTGTAGCCGGCCACCCGCGAGGAGGTATGGAGGCGGCCGACTCAGGAAGCTGTGTAGCCGGCCACCCACGGGAGGTATGGAGGCGGCCGGCTCAAGAAGCTGTGTAGCTGGACACCCGCGGGAGGTATGGAGGCGGCCAACTCAAGAAGCTGCGTAGATGGACACCAACGGGAGATATGGAGGCGGCCGGCTCAAGAAGCTGTGTAGCCGGACACCCGCAGGAGGTATGGAGGCGGCAGGCTGGGGCAGCATGCGAGGGAGCAATGATCTTCCAGCAGCTCCTCTCTGCTCCCTCGTGCTGTGTAATGATGCCGGGAGCTGGCGCAGAGAGGAGCTGCAGGAAGATCATTGCTCCCTTGCACCCAGGAATATCAGCCCCACTGTAACCCAGGGAAAGTCCACTCAGCTCCCCAAAGGTAGAGAGGCTGGGTGGATTCGAATTAAAAATATAAATGTGTGAGTGTTCGAGAAAGTGTGTGTGTCTCTGTGAATGAGTCTGTGTATGTCTGTCAGTGTGTGTGTCTGTTTAGGTACCTGCCTCCCTTCGATCACATGATTGGTGTTTTTACTTACCTTTTTTCCCCCCACGCCGTGCTGGTTTCGCTGTTGCTTGTACCCCCTTCCACAGCTGAGATCTTAAGAATCTCAGCTAAGCCAATGCTTTCCCATTGGAAAGCATTGGGAGGGTATTACGCATGTTCTCTATGGGTAACATTCAGGGCCTCCATGTAGAGCACAGGACTCTAGTGGCCACCTGAGTGACTGTCACTACAGGGCTTAGTAGACCGCAATGTAAATGCTGCCTTTTCTCTGAAAAGGCAGCGTTTACATTGAAAAGGCTACAGGAACAGGCTATAGGCACCAGAACAACTACATTAATCCGTTGTGGTTCTGGTGACTAGGGTCCCTTAAAAAACCTGGCTCCTAACTTTTTTAGCTGGCTCCTAGATTCCAAACAAATTTGTCAAGCCCTGAACTAAGCAATCTCTAATTTATGATATCTTTTGATTGCATTGGTATTCCAGTGCATTCTAAATGAGTATTTCATATTATTGATTTTACCTTTATGGCATACTCAAAAGTAACATAGCTGCTTTAGGAAGTCTCGTGGAGACAAAGTGATGAACAACCGTCATAAAAAAAATGTAAAAAAATTTTTTAAAAATTTTTTAAATCTCCTCTTTCCATTTCTGCAAGTTATAAAAACCATACAGACAGTGACGGTAACAAACATCCACTTCTGAATGATCATTCCAATATGTAGAAAATGTGACACAAAGTAAAAGGTGTGATATATACAGATAGCATCTTAAGGAAAATAAAGGAGAGGCACACATCAGTGCCCAGAATGTGTTCAGCCTGCTAAAAACAATTCAACATCATTTAAAAGGACTATTTCCAGTTGATGTTGCAAGCTGTATATACGAGCACTTTCCCAACTCTTTCCCAATACCTGAGTAATGATCATATGTTATTACTTTCCCTGGTGGCATACTAAGCAGATATGACTGAAAGTTATTTAAAAAAGAAAAGTCACTGTCCATTTCCCCAGACATGACAAGAAACATCTGTATGCCTGTATCTGTATGCAACATTCTTTTTAAAATAGTTTGAAGTGACTTTCGTTGACACAAACAATGATATGTAAACTAAGCTACATATATTTTAGAAATGTTATGGAATTTACTTACCAGTCTCTTCCAGCTTAAAAAAAGCAATAAGCTCATAAAAAGAAAGATCGTCAGCATGATTCAAGGAATTGCAGGCCCCATACATTCTTGCCTAATACCCCAATACAGTCTGACTGGGCAACTCAGTGCACTTTGGCAACCAGCACTTATTAAAAGGGACTGCAGAGAAACTCACAGAAAAGATTCAACCATGTGGAACAGCAGATTAGAATAAAGCTGTGCCACTAAGGCTGGAAACCGAACACAATCAATCTGTATTATCAGAGCTTAATTTTTTTTAACTTTGCAGATCTTCAAACCTCTTGGAAAGATGCATTACAATACGATAAAGCAACAACTTCTGCAGCGCTGTACAAAAAGTGGACTAACAGTACAAGACTAATTGGACACACAGGACCAGAGGATGCTTATGTCCCTGCTCAAATAAACTTACATTCTTACTTTTACTCTGATTTGAATATTTAGAATACAAAAATAATAGTCCATGAAAAAAAAAAAAAAAAGTATTATATGAAAAGTTAAAGTTAACACTTAAAAGATGTCTTTTATTATGGACTAAAAGTAGCCCAACACACACGCATTTTAGTATGCATCTCACATGCTCAAATGGACTATGACCAAACACTGTGCATACAAACATATGAGAAACAGTAAAGACACAACAGAAATGGTTGGAACTAAAATTAACTAAACATATCACATTAATTCGCATCCAGTCGTCTGAACACTTAAAATGTACCAGACTTAAAACAAGTTGGAGTAAAGATGCCTTCACTATATGGTGTTAATACGCCGAATGATTGTAGATTTTAGCCTGCATCAAAAGAGCACCCACCTTAGGGTGCCTTTTGTTAGAATGTTCTGTCAAATGTAAAAAATGAGCCAGAGAATGCAATGTAAACAGATACATGAAGGAGAGCTTTGTAACAGTCTAACCCAGCAGGAAACAGCTCAGACTAAAAACACTGCAAGTCATAGTTCTTATCAGCACTAAACTTAATAACTTCAGCAGAACTTTGATTGGAAAAAAAAATGTGTTTGTAATTGTTTGGACAGATAAAAACTACCTAAATACACTTGCATGGTAAAAAAAATTAAAAAAAAATAAACAAGGGTATTATATTTAAAACAAATCACAAACACGTCTGTTGATGGATAGAGAGATCACACATTGTAAACACAATACACTTTTGTTACCAGGGCACGTAAAGGGAATTAAACTTTAAACCTAGGAGTTTTAGAGTGGTGGGCAGTGTAGTTCATTGTTCCACTTCTCATGTTTGTTTATGCTTGAATGTTTGATTTAAAAAATAAATAAATAAAAGTTGGCACATTTCACACATGAGAATAATAATAATAATAATAATAATAATAATAATAATAATAATAGGCAGTGTTTCCTAAAAAAATTAAAGTGTAAAAAAACTTTTACCCTGATGTAAAAAATATTGCTCCACGTAGTATGTGTGAAAAAATGTAAATGGAATTGTCAGTCGTCTACGGTAAAGTTCTGTGTGTTGGTGTGAATATTTGTGTTCTGAGGTTTTAAATGTGGCCTTTTACATAGGCTGCCACTGAGGTTATAAAATCTGACACTGACAGATGTCACTGCAAGTTATGAATGGAGGAAGTTGAATAAAATCATGTGATGATCCTTAAATAGAAGAACAGCAAGTATATCTAACATGTTGCACTTGCACTAAAATGAGGTAGGCTAAATATGTTGATTTTCTATGTAATTTTTTTTAAAGGCAAGTTTTTTAAATGTTACTAGTTTCTGTCAAAACTATTACATCCAGAAATCTTAAAAAACAATTCAAAAAAAAAATTTTTAGTTCAATTGTGTAATATCATATTACAAGGCTGTAAAATAACACTTCCAATAAATAAAAAGGTTGAACTATGAAATTAGCGATGATTAATAGAAACTCAAACACAAGAAGAAGACCTGTGTAAGACTTATTTCAACACCGAAACAGCGACAAAAAAAAAACAAAACAAAAACACATTCATTGTTTGCATAAATGAATGAGCTCACTTTTAGAAGTTAGCACAGGAGAAGGTTGGGGGGGGGGGAGGGTGGATTACTAGTACTGTATACTACTTCGGCTCTTTCAGACCACCGTGAAAGAAAACAAGTTGGTCAAAAGGCAGTCTGGCATTTAAACTTAAGAAAGACCAAAGACACACACACACACACACACACACACGAGATCAACACCAGTTTATAAAGTGTGCAATTAGCAATTCCTTACAGTTCAGAATGTTTTTTTTTTCTGGAATCAAAATGTAAGGGACTTTCCAGAGAGCATCACATTTCTCAAGTTCCCCTTGAGTTAGATTATTTAAGGTCTCAGTGTCTAATGATGCAGAGTTCAATGGATCCAAGTTAAACATACTATAGCAGAACAGATACTTGTTCATTTGCGTGTAAAAAGTTAGCACAAACAAGCAAACTGAGTAAATACTCTTTGATTGAGGTACCACATATTACTTCTCAATATAAATAATTAGAACTTTATGGTTTCATTGTAATGCTTTAGGTAGAGACTAGTGAGTACACAAGTAGAAAACAAAAGATTCAAACATGGCCAAATGGTCGTTGTATGTGTGTGGTGGGGGGCCGGGGGGGAGTTGGAGAGTCTTTGTTCTAAAAGCTTAAGAAAAAAAAAAAAAAAAAAAGTTTGAACCATCTGCAAGCACTTCCTCACATCCTGATCTGTCAGCAGTACTGCCCCCTCCCTGTCACTCTGTTCCTCTTCTACCAACGTGTATTGCTGTCTTGTGCTTGAACAATGCTGAGCCCACACTATTCAGTTCACATGGGACATTACACAAAATGTGGGATAGAAGTGGTTAAAAAAAAGTTATTTCCTATAGGGTTAATGTCCACTGAAACTAGTGTGATTGACGACTATAGTTTTTTTTAAATCTTTTTATTATTCCATTAAGAAGGTAAATAAAACCAATTATATAGCATGCCCACATCATATTTTTTCATGAAAAAAAAGAAAAAAGTTGTGATGAAAAATAAAAAAATAGTTTTTATTTAGACAAAATCAATATGAAAAATATACAAAAGTCCCATGTAGTAAGCTTTTTGTAAGGATCACTAGTAACGTTTCTCCTGACAAATACTGACTCGAATCAACAAGTAAACTAAATTTCATTATTCGCAGTTAATTATCATTACATTCTGAGAGATAACATACGGTAGCACACAAAAAGAACATGTCCCACACAGGTTTGAAGAAAAAAATAAATAAAAAAAAATAATAATAAGTCTAAGCTTAGCAGCCTCACTGGCTGTAGCACATGGTGATCTGGTGAACAAAAGAATCTCAACTTGTGAGTTTGCCTGATGCTCTCAGCACAGGGAAAAAGTTTCACAACTTCGTTGTTTGTGAGCAACAAGTGTACTGTAAACAGTGTGAGTTAGTAGCAAGGGTTCCATTAAGGGTAACAAACAAATGTCGTTTAAAAGTAAAATATATATTTAAAAAAAAAATGTAGTTATGGAGGACCTTTCCCTCAGGAATGCAAGTCTAGTTTCCAAACAAAGACTTCCCTGGACTTTCACAGTGCATGCCTCACAGGGACTTTCTAGAACACGAAAAAGTTATTTTAAAGTATAGGTTTTGAAAGATGAAAACATTAACCCACCACCCAAGTTGATTTTTGCAAGTTTAACGTGTTTTCACATCCCGAGTTTGGGATCTTTTTCTGGTACACATGTGCTTGTAATGACCCCCCTCGTGCTGCAAGTTTCTTTGTTCCTGTGCAGACTGAGCCATGCGTTTCAAGCTCTTTGTTCAGTGAGCGCTCTTCAAAGTTTGCCAGGACAGAGAGAATCCTGCCCTGACCCTGAGCTTGCCCACTTCAATCTGTGCCAGGACACAGCCTGACCACACCGTGACATAGCCCCAGATCCTGCCAAGTCTCTTTACAACGACATGGTGCACATGCTTTAACCTGCCTGGGTGTAAAAACAACAGCAAGAGCCTGCATAGGTGTCACAAACAGAACAAAAACAAAGTTATATAAACAATGCTTTCAAAACTCTAGCAAAAAAAAACAAAAACTGAAAATCACTTTAAACCAAGTTCAAACTATTCCTGGCTCTATGCACAACGATTTGACAGCATTTCTTTATTAAAAATGTAAAGTCAGGGCAGATGTCGTGTTATACAGAAGAAGTTTAAATGACAGCACTATCGGGCTGTATGTAAAGAGACAGCCCTGCTCCTGGATGGAAAGCCTGGCATAACACGTTCACTTTGACAGGCAGCCAGCAGCATGGGCAACACAAATGTCCAGACAGCAACTCTGCTGGGCTGTCTGCAGCTGCATCGCCAGCACAGGGCTCCGCGCCATCCACATGGAGACATTGTCTGGAGCCTTCAGCAGTCACAGAGACACTGTCACCAGCATTGGGGACACGGTCAGGACCCCCACCAGCCATGGGGACACGGTCTGGAGCCTTCACCAACCAGAGACAATGTCACCAGCCATGGGGACACTGTCAGGACCCCCATCACCAGCCATGCACACTGTCAGGACCCCCTTCATCAGCCTGGGGACACACTGTCAGGACCCACTTTAACAGCCATGGGGACACACTGTCAGAACAACCATCACCAGCCTTGGACACACTGTCACCAGCCACACTGTCAGGACCACCTTCAGCAGCCTTCGAGACGCTGTCATAGCCCATTTAGCAGCAAATGAGTGCCAGCTTGGAGCCCTCCACTGGTCAGGTCAAACTTTCCCCACAGCCAGCAATGTGCCGGTTAACCCGTCAGACCTCTTACCTTTATCCATCTCGCTGTTAGTTTTACTGCCCATTGCGCTTTGTGCAGGTCCCCGTTTAGCCATGTTATCACACCGAGCACTCTTTCCTGGGATGTCCTGGATAAAAAAAAACCTAAGTTGGAGTTTCTTTGTTCACTTTCTAGCTAAAGTTCCCCGTGGGGTGTCTTGGATGAGCGATTCCCTGTGTGTGCCCCGTTTCTAGCGAGTCCCACAATAAGAGAGCCAAGTCAGAGGGAGATGTAGTGTAACGCTTTCTCTCCCTCCCCCTTCTTCTAATGAGTAATGGTTTGTAAGAAGGTTCCTAGCTCTCACACCCTCCCGGTGACTGTCAGACTCAGACACACACAGAAGGGGAGGAGATATGTAAAAACCCTCCTGGATTCCCCCCCGTTCTCCCTTCCAGACAGACTGGGCTTTTGACACTGCATAGGCTGCAGGGGGAGCTTCAGTGATTTAGCTGCTTCCTGTTATTTCCTTTCTTTCCCAGACAGCCGTTTGATCATTAAACTGCAGAGGCGGCTCCTGGGTTTTTTTTCCTTCTTTAATTCTTTCTCTTTTGACAGCTGCCTCTCTCTTCTGTCTCCTGTTGCTACGGGATGATCCAACTACTCGCCCAATCTCCCTCCTCCCTTTCTCGCTCTACTAAAAAAAAACAACCCCTCTTACTAATCGGAGAGAAAAGAAAGGGGGGGAAAGTATGCATGTAAAGGGGATGAATTGAAACTTTACACCAGGAGACGTGCATGTTGTTTAACCCCTTGTAGGAGTTCCCCTATCAGGCTACTGCAGTGATTTTGGATACAGCATGGAGGGGAATGAGGACAGGGCTTGAATTCAGGGTTTGTATACGACTGACAGACCCCTGTAAGTAGGACTCCAACTCTCATGATGCTTTACCTCCACTGAGGGGTCTAGTAATAGGACACCGTTGATTTCTGTTAAGGCAGTCTCCGTGCATAATCTGAACATTCTATCCGGGATGTTGTGCAACACTGTATCCGATGTGTAAATCCAAATGGAATCTTAGAATGAGCTGTGTGTGCAAACTGCAGCTGTCTCCTGGAAGTAGGAGGTTGACAAATCCTTAAAATGCGCAAAAAAAGATAATTCTGATCAAGGAGCCAAAATACGCCCCCTAAAGGCACTATGGGCTTATGTTTGACTCAGCGTTGTCCAAAACCTAAATTCAAAGCAAGTAAAGGAATAGCTTTGAGGCCAAGCTAGTGTGTGACACAGTGCAGACAGTGTCATTTGTTCTGCACATGGTGTGAAACTTGCTGGAAAGGCATTCGTGTGAGATGTTATTAGACTCAGCTGCTTCCTCCTATGCTACAGAAACACTTGACTTTCTGATTCATGACACTTTACCTCCGGCACACAGATGGTTAATCGATTATTGGAAGGGGGGATTTGATAGTTTTATCATATATTACCATGTAAAATTTGGATCTTTGGACATGATCAATAATTAAAAAAAAAACTTTATCAAAAAAAATATATATTTTTTTTAGTACATGGTATGTGTATGGTAAAATGTTAAAGTCCATTTACTTGGCTTTTTTTTTTTTTTTTTAAACCTTTTTCAAATCTTGCCCTGGGCCATTGGTTGCAGCAAAAACAATGAGTTAAAATTGAGTCAACAAGTGAGCTAGAGAGGGTCAGTGAAATTGCGGGTTCTGAAGCCCCCTCTCACCCCCCACCCATCAATTATTGTAATGTGATTACTGCCAGACAGCCAGAGTGGGAGTGGGGTATTTGCTTGTTCTTTAAAAAACAACTTTAAACTTATTTACATTGTGTTTTCCCTTAAAATCCACACCAATTGATTTCTTCGTGATATCCTTTATTTTCACCATCTAGATCCCTGATTAAATAGACCATTTAATAGCCACTTTTCGTGGCCGGTGGTCCCAGCAGCCCACGCCTTGTTTATGACAGTGGCGGGCACATTGCACTGCAGGCTGGGCTTGTTGACAGATTCCTTTCCTGCTGATCTTTCTTTACACATAAACTAGTTGCCCCTTCAATCTGACACATACACAACACAGCTTTCATTCTCTGTGACAGGGAGGAAACAAGATAGTGAAGGGAGGAGACTTGGGATGCATTTGCCAGTTGGTGAAGTCATACACCAAACCATAAACTGCTTAATGTGTAAAAAAAAAAAGCTATTTAAATGGAAGACGTGGCTATACGGCTTTTTGTTTTACTCGTGTTTGCTCCGGGGATTGGTGGCTCATATCCGGCCTCCTAGAGGGGGCTAGACACTCTTAGCCTGAGTCACACAGAACCTCCCGGCCGGGGGAGGGGAGACCTGATTTTGCCTGCTTCCCGCCTCCACCTCCCCCACTCCCTTGGTTCTCTCTGGCAGCTGAAAAACAGAAACTGCTTTTGTTCAGCAGCCAAGCTGCAGCTTGCAATGGTTGTAAAACAGAGACATTCCTCACAGACACCCTCCCTCTCTCCCCTTGTCCAATCCCACTGAACAAGATTACATAGCTTGGGACAAAAATAAGAGAAACACCTTAACCACTATTTTTCAGTTTTGAGTATTCATTTGCTCCAATCCTCTAGCAAAAAAAAAAATAGCCTGGAAAGGAAAATAATTGGCAACTATGCAAATGATTGTGGATTTTATTTTATAAATTATTACTCAAAGCAAAACTTTATTACATAGTTTGTAATATGAAAAAGAAAAAAAAAAGTAAATTTTGAAGTTTAGTGTGTTTTCTATTAAATGTTTGTTTTTATGTCAGATTGTGCAAGGTCAGAATAAATCAGTTTTCTTTATTGTGGTACTGTCAAGATCATGTACACAAATGACTTGCTAGTGACGTGTTTTCATTTAAATTTAGTTTTCATGACAGCTATTTACTAAACGTTTGAGTTACAGTAGAAATTTGGACCAAATCACTTGGCACAGTTCACTAAATTGTATTTGACTGAGATTTAGCAAACCAAAGAATGAAAATAGATAAAAGTTCAAACTAAACAGCAGTTTCTTCAGATTGTGGCAAATTTATTTGAATTTACATTGAGATGACATTCCAATTTTTTTTCCAAAATAATAAATTGTTAAGATAATCTGGTTCACTGGCAGGACATGGACCCTTAAAGGAACACTATAGTCACCTAAATTACTTTAGCTAAATAAAGCAGTTTTCGTGTATAGATCATTCCCCTGCAATTTCACTGCTCAATTCACTGTCATTTAGGAGTTAAATCACAAACAGATGTAATTTACCTTAAATAATTGTATCTCAATCTCTAAATTGAACTTTAATCACATACAGGAGGCTCTTGCAGGGTCTAGCAAGCTATTAACATAGCAGGGGATAAGAAAATCTTAATTAAACAGAACTTGCAATAAAGAAAGCCTAAATAGGGCTCTCTTTACAGGAAGTGTTTTTGGAAGGCTGTGCAAGTCACATGCAGGGAGGTGTGACTAGGGTTCATAAACAAAGGGATTTAACTCCTAAATGGCAGAGGTTTGAGCAGTGAGGCTGCATGGGGCATGTTCTATACACCTAAACTGCTTCATTAAGCTAAAGTTGTTCAGGTAACTATAGTGTCCCTTTAAATAACTAGAAAAATTTAGGAACTTGTTACCTTCTTTTATTTCAAATGTAGAAGGTAAAATAAAATAATAGAACAACCTTTAAGTGAAAATGTGAAGTGGAAATTTTGAAATCTTCTTCACACAATTAAGAAAAGTGAAACAAAATCATCACAGTTTTTTGACAGGTATAGCACTGCCTTGTTTGTACAACAAAATGTCACGTTTGTCTAGGGAATTTTCTGAGACTTCCTCTCAGTGTTCAATTACAGTAATGTTCTGAATCAGTCATATAGGCTAGGGTATAAATACGTGTAGTAATTTCTTCACCTCACGCTGCCCACTTTTAAACATTAACAGCTTGTGTAAGGGAGGAAAAGTTGATCATGATACAAAGTGCTGGGGGCGTGAAGTTTAAAAAACTGACACATTCTAGTCAGCATTGTTTTGCTGCATGCTTGGGTGACAGTTCAGACCTGTTGCATGGCATTTATAGGTTATTCACAAGTTCCTGTTATGAACATACCACACTTTGTACTGTCACTTTTTGTTTCCACAGCCCAGTACAAACACTGTTGGTTTGTGGATCTATCTTGGTAAATTGTTGATTAGCATGATGAAATGTACACATTATTATTATTATTATTATTTTAGCTTTGCCCTAAAGAAAATAATATGGTTCTTTTTTTTTCTCCCTGAAGATACACTTGTAAGAATTTGTTGACTCAGCTTAAATCATAAGAGGAAATGTGCTGTCAAAATGTGATTTACTTTTTTTTTTTTTTTTTTTTTAACTGTTGACTGACAGTATGACTCAGTGTGCATTGGATTGGAAATGTCAAGTCGTATACTAATGTGACTGAAATAGTCAAAAATTTAGAAAATAGTTTTTTGTTTTTTTGCTCAGCAAAACATTTCAATGGACTGTCAGTGTTAGACTGACTGCTTCAAATTATGCTCTTAGGCTACCACTGGCATTTAAAAGAAAAGTTTCTACACGGGAGCTGAGGCCAGATGAAGTGGCAGATGGGCCAAAGGGATGGGTGCCAAAAAGAGGACTTTGGGTTCAAACTGTTCAAAACCATTTTAACCCCATATGGTAAGATGTTGCCCAAGGCCTCCAGTCACCATAATGACTTTATTGAGCGGAAGATATTATTGTGCTTTTAATTGCTTTCATACTAGGAGTACATGAATTCCTTGTAGAGTTTCAAGCATAGCCCCACAGAATACACAATTCATCAACATCCGCCCTAAAAATTAAAAGTCACAAACCTAATGGATACCTACCCTAGGCAATGGGATGGAATCTTGGCATTCAGTGCACATACACTGAACAGTTGGAAGGAACTCATACACATAGGATTACACATTGTCTTCAAGCCCTTTGTGATCATATTAGCTGTAAGTGGGCTCCCACTGGAAAGCGTAATGAAGAAGGCTCACATGTTACTTATGCATGCAGCATTTTGGCATCATTATTTTCAATTGTGATGCCCTAAACTTTAGGTTAATACTACAACACAGTGTGAATTTTATATGGCAGCTGTTTGTCCCTTCCTGTCATATATTTTCCAACCAGGCTAGAAATACATGCATGTAGCAGTAATGACCCTGTAAGAGTTGCCATAAACACATTGTTCAGTGTGCGTCCATTTATCTGTTTACAATTACGTGTCTGTTAGTCCACCCATTGTACAGCTCTATGGAATTTGCTGGCACTATATAAATAATAAAATAAGAAGAAGAAGAAGAAAAAAGTTTGGCCATATTGATTTCTCCGAAAAATGTTTTTAGTTTGGATGGTCCAAAAGTTGTTAATTGAGCGTTTCGGCTAGGATGATTATCGTCCATGCAAAATATTTAGGGGAACTATTTATTTGGGAAAAAAGGGTGGGAAAAGGCACATATTTGTGTACTGCAACGCAATAATAGCAACAGTATTGCCTAGCCTAATGCTGAGTTGTCATCATTATATTATTGTTAGACTACTATAGGCGCTGCTTCCTGACACTACCTTCTATTATATTATTATATGTTTATTAAAAAAGTGAGAGAACTTATTTTTATGATTTTTTTTTCCTTTTGCAAGCTTCTATTAATTATAATAAGGGGGTCAGCAGCAGCAGTAGTAATTTTAATTGAAAAAAGCGGGATTTTTCAAAAAATGAAAAGAAAACGCTCACCTAATCAAATCCTTCCCATAAGAATTAATTTAAGTTGCCTTTGGGTATATTCTGGTCCAGTATAAGCTTCAAAATTCAATAATATCCAAATAATCAGCAACATATTTAAATATTGAACACAAATGCCATTGTAAGCACTTAGCATGAGGAAGGCTGGGTTTGCATTTGGACATGGAATACCCAATTACTACAGGATACATGTATTGCAAGGTCTTATTGTATACCTATACAACTGTTTCTCCTTTACTCTCCGATTCACTAGAACAATCAAACACAATATTTAAGATGCAGATAAGGGCAAACCGCTTAAAGTAGCCTGTTCTGTGAGGGATTTTTGAAGCAAAGACATGAACAATATTCCAAAGCACTGTAACTAACGTGGACTTATATTACACAATTCCACAACTCATCCTCACTACCATCAGTCCAAACTGTCATAACCGCTTATGGCCTAAGTGTTAATTAGCAATTCATAATTGTAATAGTAATATGAATAGAATAAATTATATATCTCCATACAACTGAACAGCAATCCAACAGGGACCAACATAAACAAAAATAAGCGTCAAGATTTACAACAATAATGCTCTGATACAAACATTAACTTCAAATCCTTGGTCTGTATTACGTCAGGATCTTTAAAGGGACACCCCAGGCCCCTAAAGCACTTCAGCTTGCTAACGTGCCGAATGTGTGATGAGTGTTTCCTCATTTGTATGTTAACAAAAGTGCACATTTCCATAGAAATCGTCACTTTTATAAATTAACCTGACTAAACCTCCTGGCTGTCAATCAGACAGTTGGTCATGTTCTTCCTGGTTTGGTTATCTAAGTGGAACTAATCTTAAGAGGCAGCACTTTCCCAGAGCACCTGCCTTGCAAAGACTTCTCATTGAGCTACATAAGAAATTCTCTAATTGGACAGTCACCATAGTCTAAACTGGATTAGAAGGGGAGGTCTTGTAAAGCCAGCAGACAAGAGATCTGCAGCTTCTGCAAACTGTGTTTACATTTAACATATATATATGTGAAAAGGTTGGCGCAAAATGTAAGATTAATTTTAAAAAAATGCAGCAACCAACAAAGAAAATCTTGGTAATAAGATTAAACAGAACAAATACAAACAGTGTCTTATAATCACTCTCTGTCAATATCTTACATATAGAAGGCTTTAACAATAAGCACACGTGTATCAAACCAAAGTGCAATCTCAGTGTTTAAAAACTATTTAAAAAAGTGCAGTTGTGATGGTTATATAAAGTGACGTGCTTATACTTGCGAAACATCAATTCAAGTATCTAAGAAGAAAACAGAAATAGAGAACTCCTAGTGTAATACAGTACAAAAATTGTATATGAGAAAAATATTGCTCTTTAAGTAGCTTACTCACAAAATCAGCTCACAGCTATAGCGCTCAGGAAGGATCAGCCCCTGGTGTGCGTGGGATCCATACGATACACAGATGACCAGGATGTCAGGTATGTGCAAACTTTATTCCAATGTCGCAATTAAAAACATAAATTCTGTGAAGTCCATCAACAGCTCACCAGTAGTGATGTCCCGAACGGTTCGCCACGAACGGTTCGCCGCGGACTCATCATTGAGTAAACTTTGACCCTGTACCTCACAGTCAGCAGACACATTCCAGCCAATCAGCAGCAGACCCTCCCTCCCAGACCCTCCCACCTCCTGGACAGCTCACTAAGAATGCAGCTTCAAAAGGGATGCTGTCCAGGAGGTGGGAGGGTCTGGGAGGGAGGGTCTGCTGCTGATTGGCTGGAATGTGTCTGCTGACTGTGAGGTACAGGGTCAAAGTTTACTCAATGATGAGTCCGTGGCGAACCGTTCGTGGCGAACCATTCGCAAACCGTTCGGGACATCACTACTCACCAGCTCTTGACAACGGATGGTGATAGCTTCTAAAACCGTTCTGCTCGTCGCTGTGCTGGGCTGCTTTCGCCGATGAACATCCACAGTACTTCCTGGTCCGTGTATCGTACGCATCCCACGCACACCATCATGTAACCATCAAAACTGCACTTTTTTAATCGTTTTTAAACACTGAGATTGTACTTTGGTTTGATACACGTGTGCTTATAGATAAAGCCTTCTATATATAAGATATTGACAGAGAGTGATTATATGACACTGCGCGTGTCCTTTTACGTCTGCTTCAGAGTCTTTTAGTAAATAACAGGAACTGGTACCAGCAGGCAGTGTGTAACATGGATCTATGAAGACACTTTAATATCTCTTGACTGGACCTTTCTTGTTCGCTTTACGCAAGCTCTTTTCATCTAGCGTTTATCAGAATGCAATCCCCAAGTTCCATGGAGTACATTTTTTCCTTGCTTACAGTTGGCTGTACAACTTAAACATGTGCTTGAGCGTACTAAAGTATTTTCACTAGTGACATCCAGGACAGTGCTCTTAATTTTATTCACATTTTATATCACATGTTGACCATGTTTGTAGACCATCCAACAGTTGTCTTTTGTTATTATTTATTTGTGCCTGCTAGGTTTAATCTATCCTAACAACTGAGAATTCACACAGACAATGTTCATTAGCATGTTTGCTCTTTCCTAATTAGAGTGTTTTATAGATCTCTTAACTCATTCATGTCACAATCGTATCTCATTCATCAGTAGTTTCACACATTCCTGAGTAATTCTATCATTTTATCATTATTCTTACATTTGGTGCCACTTCCTAATTAGCATTGTAGTGGTTTAGTGTATAATCAGAATTACATATAATGGCCTTCCAGCAGAGGTGGTAGAAAAAAAATAAACTAATGGAAATTGAGCAGTTAACACAAGACAATAACATAAATACCTCCTGCAATATATCTGTAGATTAAATTGCAGCAAAAGAAACATAACTCATATCTCATTGCTGTATATTTAGATTTTACATTATGTATTCTAAGAACAACTGGGCATCTTGTATTAATGTATTAATTCTATGAGAGTCATTATGTAGCCTTTTAGACATTGATCAGAACATTAGAAAGACGGGTGAAATCTTTAGAAAAACGTTTGACTTCGATTTTAAGTCAAATTACTTAAAAGTATCAATCTTGTGGCATGAAAAGCAATGTTTCCAATGCAGGGTTAACACACCTCTAGCAGCTGTCTTCCTGACAGCTTCCGCAGCTATAACCTAGGGGGCACTAGGTTAGCACAGCATGGAGTTTTACAGTGCATGCACAGTTGTAATCAAAATTAGTCAACCCCCATTGAATATCAGGTTTATTGTCAAAATTTACAGACTTTCAGCTGTTTGCAATGAACAAATTAATCAAAAGCAATTGAAATAGCTTAACATACCAAATGCTCCAAGGGTATTTTTCCAAATTCAACTGAAAATGCAACTTAGAATGATTTCTCCAGTTTCAAAATGATTTAACTCCTTTATGACATGCATCTTTAGTACTTAGTAGAGCACTCTTTTGTCGTTATGACCTGCTGAAAACGAGATGCATAACCAAACACCAGCTTCTGGCAGCGTTCCTGAGGAATCTTAGCCCATTGCTCATGAGCAATGGCCTCCAGCTAATTAATATTTATGGGTTAGCGTGCTGCAACTGTCTTCTTCAAATCCCACCAGAGATTTTCTATGGGGTTCAAGTCTGTGATGGCCGCTGTAGAATTTACCAGGACTTTTTCTGCAACTAAGCCTTGGTGGAATTTGAGGTATGCTTGGGACCACTGTCTAGATTGATGCCCAAGCTTCAGCTTCTTCACGGACGGCATGATGTTTTCTCCTAGTATTTCCTGATACTTCAATGAATCCACCTTGCCTTCTCTGCAGGTCTCCTGTGCAAGAAGATGCAGAGCCAACCCAGAGCATCATGGAGCCACCACCATCCTTAACGGACAGAGTGTTCTTTTTGACATATGCTTCATTTTTCTTTCTACAGACATATCGCTGATCCATTGGGCCGAAAAGTTCCAGTTTTGTTTCATTGCTCCAAAAAACAGAATCCCCAAATGTATGTGGCTGATTTATATGATTTTGAGCATATTAGAGCTGTCTTTTGGGTCAGTAGTTGTGTACGTCTTGGGGTTTTGGCATGGAAACCTGTGTTTAGTACGCGCCTTACTGTGCTCACCGAAGCCTCAGTGCCTGTTTCCATCAAGTCTTACTGCAGTTCTTTTGCAGTCACTCAAGGGTTTTTTCACAACCTGCCTTCTCATAAATCTGGTTCCAGTCATTGATAACTTCCTTTTTCTGCCCTGTCCAGGTACTGTTACTCCTTTAACATTGAACTTGTGAACTATGCTTCCAATGGTGATTATAGGAACATTCTGTGCTTTTGCTATCTTTTTGTATCCTGTTCCTTGTTTGTAAAGGGTCATGATCTCGTCCTTTAACGTTGTGGATCATTCTTTTGAATTAGCCATACATCAAACGTGACACTCAACAAACCCCTAGCCTGTTCAGGTATTTGAATTGTTCCAGCTTAAACACCAACTCAAGCCCTTGATTAGTTGCATCAGGTGTGCTTGAGACAACACCTGTTTTGCATATTTGTGCTGTCTATTCAGGAAGTTGGATAATTTTGAAACTTGGGAAATCATTATAAGTTGCATTTTCAGTTGAATTTGGGGAAACGACTTAAAGCATTCATTGTGTTGAGCTATTTCAATTGCTTTTGTTTGATTTGTTCAGTGCAAACAGCTGAAAGTCTGTAAATGTTGACAATAAACCTGGTTTTAATGAGGGTTGAATATTTTTAATTGCAACTGTACACTAGCCTCCAAATGCTTGGTGAAAGATTGGATTGGGTGAGATCATCACGCAAAATTTGAGGTGAAGCAGTGGCATGGAGACCAGCATGCTGTGACATGTACGGTAAGTAAATCTTACCTTTTAAGCCCTCATGGTAGTTAGGAATACATGGTTGTATTCTTAGTGATATACTTTTCCTTTAACTAAAAAGCAAACTAGGAATTGTTTTTGGCTTAAGCCTATCTAAACCTATAGTCATGACATATCAAATTATAACTTCAGAACTTTGCCAAAGGAAAGACTTCTGTCTGTTTACTCTGTAGGTTAGTTTTGGCCACAAGATTTCTAGGTATTGTTGTACTAGTTTACCAAAACCAGCTTCATGGAAGCAAAGACTAAATAAGTATTTCAAATCCATTCCTTCCACTTACAAAGTGGAAATTAGAGATTCAATAAATCAATAATTTGTCTGCTAGGACAAGCCAAATTAAATATTTACGCAGATGACATCTTACTAACATTAGAGGAACGAAACATCTCGGTCCCAGAACTGTTGAAGGATATAAGCAACTACTCCAGAGTTTCAGGATACAAAATAAATCTGGAGAAATCGACATTTATAGCTAAAAACATGAGCAAAAGGACAATAACATTTCTTGAACAAGATACTGGGCTCCTCAAAAACAGTGACAAGTTAAAATATTTGGGTATCACTATAACTACAGAGCTAAAAGACTTAATGGAAGCTAATTTTCTACCCCTTGTTGAAACAAACTTACAAAAACTTAAGGGATTGGAAAGGCATGGGCTTTTCATGGTCGGGTAGGATTAATATCCTAAAAGCATATATTCTGCCAAAATGGCTGTACATGTGGAGAATGATTCCTATTAATTTCGCAGGCTGTCCTTACTACACTCCTCTTTTTTTAAATTTATTTGGGGGAGTTGGAAATTTATCCTCACTATTTTAGGTTGTCAAGTCAAACAAAAAAATTTATCAGAGAGGCACAAACTAAATCTCAGATACTCAAGGAGCTAACGGGATGGTGGGATAAACTCATAAATAACAAAGAATAAAATAATAGACATGCTCCCATTTGCAAGTATTTCAGATATGCTAGAAAATATAAAAATAGAAATAAGGACATTAAGGGGATAAAGTAATTAAAAAAAATATTGGTGGGACATAATCTTAAACCTTTCAACCAAATTATGAAGGAATTCAACATCCATTCTAGTGAAGCGTTTAATTATCTACGAATCAAGAGCTTCCTAGTAGAACACCTCTATAAAAACAAGTGGGAGAATAACACAAACCTCATACACCTACTTGAATGACAGAATTACAAAAATCTACTGGAAAAATGTGCAAAAACTGTATATAGATGGAGACATGACAGACCGATAGCACTGATCAATAAAAGAACTACAGGTACATATAGAAGAAGGATAATGGATAAATTCCCTAAATAAATTATATAAAATATACACTGCTTAAACCTCACAGAAACCCAATTCAAACTATCAAATAGATGGTATTTAACACCAAAACGCTTAAAGAGAATCTTTCCAGCGTTATCCGATAGATGTTGGAAATACAATATTGGTGAAGGTAATATGATCCACATCTGGTGGCAGTGCACACCCATAAACAAGTTTTGGAAATAAGTAATTAAGATAATATATCAAATAACGGAAATAAAATTACCTCTAAAGCCCGAAGTGGTTCTGCTAAAGTTGCACTTGCCAGATATGACAAAAAGAACGTCAATGTTAATATTACACATAATCACAGCAGCTAAATTACTGCTAGCACGAAATTGGAAAACAGAGATGATACCAAGCATCAACAAACTAATAAAACAAGTCATATGGAAAGCTAGAATGGAAAGGGGTATTCTTGTGAACCTAGGAAACAGATATAAGCAAATAGAAGAATGGGATATATGGATAAACAAAATGGATGGCATACTAGGCTTTTACTACTCTTCATAAAGATGATGAAGGTAAAAGAAAGGGAAAAAATATAACCCTAAACCGGGCAACAAACAAAT